TTTTTTTTTTTTTTTTTTTTTTTTTTTTTTTTTTTTTTTTTTTTTTTTTTCTTCTCAAGAATGAAGAAATCCCACCACTATCTTAAAAAGTAATATCCTCTCCCACTTCCTCTTTAAAACTACGAGATTCACGACAATAGAATAGTAAATTAACTCTAAGATAAATTTCTAGATATTTATCCTTTTTAAATGTGACTCCCTGCTAATATGTTTTAGTTCTTTTTTATTTCTTTATTATTAGTTAAATTTATTTTTTTGGCGAAGAATTTGATGAATTTTCGAACGCCTCTAGCTATTCATTTAGATTATGATAAGTTGAAGATGGATGGAACAAGAATCTCACTTAAGCTGATTAATGGATTGATCTGTGTTTATAAATAAAAATATATTTTAATTAGTACTAAATCTTTTAGGGAAATAAAAAATAAAAGTAGGAGAGCATGTAATAGTCAAAATCTACTGTTAGTATATATTGTCAATTTTGGCAGTTAGATATTATTATCAGTCTCACAATTTTTAAATATATCCATTATGGAAAGATTTTTACGCCTTTATAAACACTAAACTAATATGAGATCTTATGACAATAACATACTGTTTTGGAGATTTGTGATTTTGAACATTATCGATAATGAAAAAATAAAAAATAAATAGTGTGTCACTAATTTTGGTGGGTCTTAGATTCCCAATCACGTCGCCTCTTTCAAAATTTTCTCCAAAAAAAAAAAATGAAAAAGAAAAAAATCCTTCACATTTATGCGTCATTTATGCCCTCTTTGTGTTATACGTTTGATCATAATGAATGAAAATGACATCGTCAAACTAAATCACCTATCAAAATCCGCTACGAAGAAAATGCATATTATATCAAGATCATTTTAAGGGCTAAAATATGAGACTATATTAAATATTAAAATGACGTCATGAGCTAGTATATTAGAAATTCTCATTTAATAAAACAACAAACACAAAACTAATGTGTTAGGTAAATTATTGCTTTGCAAGTGTATTTGGACACCGAGATCCACTTGGAATGAATTGATTTTTTTAATAACAAAATTAAGTTTTTTAAGTTGTAATATGATCGATAACGTAGGGAAGGATCATGGGTTTATAATAAAAGAATATTATCTCCATGTGTATGAAGTCTTTTTAGAAACTCAAAGCAAAGGCATAAGAGCCTACGCCCAATATCATATCAAAATTCAACTTTTAAAAAAAAAATTAATTCAAACGTGATTTAATTGATAATTTTTTAATAAACGCATTCCTACCCATTTATCAATTTATTTCCGTCATGATGTGGATAGATTTTTTTTATATATAATATTTTAAATATATAATTGATAACTTCTTTTTAATATAATGTATATTTGGAAGATGTAAAATATAGTAATAAAACAAATAATATTTCAAATAAAAACATAATATAATGTTTAAGGGGTGGATTAGAACAAAGTGAAATATAATTTTCTACCAAAAAAAAAAGATAAATCAAAAAAACAAAAATTAAATTAAGGAAAAAACCCAAATGGACAGATGTCCTCACCGGCTTAATATAAATATATTTTTGACTTTAATTATAATATTTGAATTAATTAATTTTTTTTAATTATGTTGGTAGCTTATAAAATATATTAATTTATTGTGTTTTTTTTAAATAAATATTATATTAAAAAAATGAAAAAATTTAAAATAACTATTTTTAAAAAAGAATATAAATGATAAAAAATAAACCAGTAATTTATCCTCGCCAAAGTTTCCATACAAAACTAATTTACTGTAAAAAATAAATGAAAATTCTATAACAATGTGAAATTAAATAGGTGAAGTGAACCCGACGAAGAAAAATTCTAGAGACACTTGTAGATCTCTATATAGATAGGTGTGCATGAGGTAAGAAATAAATGAGGTACATGCATGTAAATAAGAATAAGAAAAGAAAACAAACAAAAAAGGAGAATAGTTATCAAATAAGTATGCTTCTTAAAAATAACAAATAAATAAATAAATAAAAAGATACGGAGGCATTACAAAATGTGCCCATCGTTAAACTCCGCATTACCACTCTAAGGATCCAAATATAGGATTGCATTGCCATATTTAGAGTCAATAATATCTTATATGATTCTTTTTTTAATTACTAGATACAGAAGACTCTCATAGATCTTATCGGCCTAAATCACATGCTAAAACAAGAATATAAGGTAGGCTATCTTGAGTTATATTACATATTTCTCCTTTGATTTTATTTGTGTTGAGACAGAAGATTTGGTTTGTTTCGTCTTATCTACGTGTTACATCTCAAAGCATAATTGGATCTAAAATCAATGGTATTAAAGTATTTGGGAACGTAACATACCTTTGGAGGGAGGGTATTACTGTTCCTATTTGTTAATGATGTGTGCTAAAATTTTATAATTGTTAAGTTGGACCCCTCTTAGCAATTACTCTAATCTGAAGCAGTAAAGATATCACCGTGGCAATACAGTAATCCACACAAGCGTCGTTATTGTAGCATTAAATTTGGATTTATTTAAAATTGTTGAAGTAGACTTTCTTCTCCATCCAACCACGTGGCAAATTAGTTTATTTTTTAATAATTAAAAAAAAAAAGAGAATGCCACGTTTCTCGTAGTACGCATTTCACCCTAGGAAATAAATGTGGTCACAACGTCGCAGCTATTGATCCCCAAAATAAAGCACTGATTAATACGGATTTCACCTAAGTTTACACTTGGGATCAACACAATACAAGATTGACTTTCCTTAAAATGAGTTTATAAGAATAATAATAATAATAATAATAAGGTAACAAAACAATTCCACGTCACCTCTTTTTGACACGTAATTATTGTTGATTTTCTAGAGTAGACACGTAATTAAGTCAACATTCTTAGTTGGCACTGTCTGGTGGAATTACTAATGTAATTTGTCCCCTTCTTCTTCATTTGCCTTCATTTGACATCTTTACCCTTCAATTTTATGCTTAGGTTGCTGGCTTAAAATGTAATTTTACCTCGTGTTGCGAGCAATGATGCATTAAAAACTATATTATATTATTTTTTAAGTTAAATTACTTTATGTTAGAATAATTTCTTTTAATATTGACTTTTTTTAATAAAAGATATTATCATTATTTAACAACTTTCCATATACACTAACCTTTAATATTAAAATGTTTCTTAATTATTTAAAAAAAAATCTATAATTTATCATTTACATTTTTTTTAATAAATATTAAGATGTTAATGGGTTTCCAAAATTATTTAATTACTACAACTATATAAGAATTTATTTCATAGAAAATAATCAAAATATTATTATTATTTTTTTTAATTTTTTCTCTTTGTGTTTCTTCCCTCTCATCTCTGTTCTCCAAGAAACGGTTTGATTTTGTGTGACAGATCATAATAGTTAATAATTTTCCTTCTATAAAAAAAAAATTATAATAAAGATTGTTTAATTATTTTTATTTGTATTTTAAATTAGTATGAAAACTTGGAAGTTAAAAGACTTCAAAATATAAAACAAACATCTCTTGACACGTGTAAAAAAAATATTTTTGAAGGGTTTAACTTAAACTAAACAATTTAGTCATTAGTCAAATTAAAATGATTAAAATGTGATTTGACAGATATATATTCAAGCATGAGACAATTTGATTAGAAAAAGGAAAAAAATATTCCTCGAAATTACCGAAAAAACCAAAATATTGTAAAATCCACCTAATTTCACAATGACAGATATAATATTCAAAATATATGTAAGATATTATTTTAATATCCTTTCATTATATATTTTATATTTAATTAATTTATATTTTATTTAGTTGTTAATTTGTATCGTATTTGAATATAAATGAGAATACACACATTTCATTCAATTCTATTTCTATTTTTATTTTCCAGAATAGACATTCACAAATATCAGAAATACAATTTAAATAAATAATAAAATTGGTACATCAATAAAATATTAATGGATATTGCCGTAAATAAAAAAAATTAAAATATGTTATATATATATATTATGTTTACTTATAATTTATTGATATATTTAATGTGTTGGAAGGATGATAGGTGAAAAAACGAGAGAGAAGGAAGAAGAGGTGGAAAGTGAAAGTTCGTTGGAAGGAATTAGAAAGGGATTTGGGGCCACAAAATCTGGAGCTCAAGAGTTAAGTTTTGGAGGGGAGGGGACCATTTTTCTGAAATATATTTAAAATTTAATTAATAAGTTGGTGAGGGGTCAGGTTTGGTAATCGGGTCGGAAACGAAGCCCATAAAGTCTACTTGGTCCAGCCGGTCACATTCTACCCTTCCACAAGTGGTCCTCTCTCTACTTACTCCTTCAAAGCCCAATCAACACACCCCATCATATTCATTCTTACCTCTCTCTCTCTCTCTCTTTCTCTCTCTCTCATGGATTCAAAACTTCTTCTACTCAACTACTTAAATGTCATTATGTGAATTAAATTAACTCAATTCATAATAATTATTAGTAATTAATTGTGGGGATAAGCAACAACACTCTTGATTTATAATGAATATTTTTAATAATTAAAAATTAATCTAAACTTTAGAAATATTTTTTTATTTTTATAATTTGACCTTGATTTTATTTAAAATAATATGAAGGAAAATCTCATATTATCATCTACATGTCATAATTAAAAACAAAAAACAAAAAAACCATCAATCTGTGAAGGAACTATTTTACTGTTTATTACAACAAAATAGCAATAATAATAATAAATAAAAGGTCGAAAATAATTACATTAAGTGGAGTAAAGTGATGTAGGATATTAAAAATTGCAATTATAGATGTTAATATATGAAAAATACGTGACACTAATTAATGCCATTTTTGTTGCAATTACCGAATAAATATATTATTAGAATAATTTTCAAAATTATAAAACTGAATATAGTCGTTGAATAAATGTGTTTAGAATAATTTTTAAGATTAAAAATCTAATATCACCTTTCAATAAATGCATTTTTAAGAATAATTTTGAAGGTTGTAGAAAATGAATTGCTCAATTTTAAACTATAAAACCAAATACAATATTCAATTTTAAACTATAAAAACCAAAAAAGAAAAAAGAAAAAAAGAAGAAGGGATTTTGCACTTTAAAATATTTTATTAAAAGAAAAAAAAACAGAGGAAATCGAGCCCATTGGAGTGTTGGGCTTCATAAGGGCCCACAGCTTCGGTCCATTCTAGCCATTTAGAAGCTCAAAACTGGGCCGAATCTTGCGCAATATAAAAGCACGGCGCGGTTAGAAGAAATGGCTCCAAAATACAATGGAGAGTGAGACGCAGTCCGGTTCCGAGGAATTGCAGAATAGTCGATGCTCGTTTGTTTGGGATGAGAATTCGCAGCTGTACTTCCATTCCAGGTTTCTTTAACTATCCTCTCGTATATTGATTTCGTTATGGAATTTTAATGGCCAAATCAACGAGCATTTAGGCAACAATATTTTTGAGAAGGAAATTTGCTATTTCGTAAGTTGCTGATGATTTGAACGATAATTTTATAGATACAGGATTCAAACGAACATTTTAAGATAGTTTCGTAGAAAAGGCTTAATTGATGAGTAATCTTATTGTTCTATAACTTGAAATCATAATCAATTCGTAGTAATTTTGTTGATCTTCTTGTTTAATACATGGCGATTTAATATACTGAATAAAAACATTTGTCCTATATCAAACTGTTAGATGCTCAGTGTGCCGGTATCTTCACACAGTTTCTTCTAACCTGTGCGAAATTTTTTCGTACTGTTAGTCTGTTATTTCTTCACGAAGATTGTTCGCCGAATTTCAACATTTCTGCTTCCGTGTTGTCATTTCAACTTCATTTTCTACTACAAATTGTTACTTACTTGCGTTACTTCCGGCAGTAGTGGATTTTATCACGATCCTGTTGCCGGTTGGTATTACAGCAGTCGAGATGGTTCGTATTACAAATTCGAAAACGGAAGCTATGTGCTGCTTCAGATGAACGAGGTATCGTAACTTGGTTGTTTATATGGTTATACTTATTGCTTTTCATATTCCCTGTGATCTTCCTTCGTTCTATAATTAATTCTTTGCCTTCTGAACATTGTAGCAGGATGAAGAATGTAAGACATATCCTGATGATCCTGTTAAAGGCGAACCATGCAGACAAGTGTGTATTAGCGGCAGCGAGGATCACTCTTCATTTGAGGCCAGTGAAATTGATACTTCTAACTGCAAAGGAAGTGTTGGTGACGGACTACCATTAGGTAAGTTATCAATGCATGTAAACGTTCTTCAGCCAATTATGCTGCAGCTGCTTCGTTTTCATTTCGATATCAAGTTTGGCTGTCAACAAAGAGATGCTAATTCTATCGTTCTGGCTAATAGACCTAATTGATTGCAGTTTCGAGTAAAAGTTTCATTTGGCTTGTTTGGACCAGTAACTTGTATGCTTTGGATGACCTTAAATATGCATCTTATATTGATCCAGACATTGTTATTTATAAAATGCTTCAGGATTCATTAATTTCCAAATGTGAATACTGTTTAATATCTTCGTTAAGGTAGATGGTTGGAGTGAACTTTGCCTTTGTTAAATTGCGGACATATATATTTTGTATTTAAATTACATGGTAAGGCATGGTAGATCTCTTTATTTTGACTTCAATATCTCATCTGTGCCCCTACTACTTGCCGAGTTTATACCATCTCAAAAGGTAGATATTTCGAAGTTTTTAAAACTCCACTGCCATTTGCTGCAACACCGTTGATGTTGTTGCTTCCATGACTACGCCTACAGCAATATCCCTCTAGTTGGCTGTGAATGAACATTTGACGACCTTCAGTAAATGGATGAAGGATAACTGTACACATATTACTAAGGAAGCTTTATTATTTCAACAGCTCTTAATGCAGCCGATGTTGTCTTTAGTGCTTACAAATAATGTACCAATTATTTTGTGTTTAACAGAAGTAGCAGAGGGCATTGGTGGTCATGAGCACGAGAATCCTCCCACATCTTTGTGGTATACTACATTTGGATGAGATGCTAATTCACTTTGTAGTTGTTTTTTGTTCTCTCTTTCATATACACTTTCACCTTTTTAGGTTGGAAGATACGCTTATTGATCTTTTTTTGTCCGGTTATTCCAATTCAGAAGTCATAGCCACTAATGACAGCATATCACCTACACCTTCAACGACTAATCATGGTAATAACTTTCAGTCATCAAGTAATGGTGTGTTCAAACTCTTCTCATGAAGTTAAGGCAATTTCATGGTTTTCATGAAATCAGAATGACTTTGGTTGTGGTACAGGCTATAGCGATACCCAAATGATGGAAGGTGAACCGTTCCAAGATGACAATCGTTCAATTGTGAATTCAAACAAAAGAGTATTAGATGGAGGTAATGCGGCCTCACTAGTTGAGAAAGTAATTTAATTACTACTGTGAAACTAGAATGACTTTGATTGTGGTTCAGGCTATGATGATACTCAGAGAATGGAAGGCGAGCGGCTCCAAGACGAAAATCATACTATATTGAATCCAAACGAAAGTGTATTATTAGATGAAGGTAATACGACTCTGCTATCATTTTGAAATTAGAAAATATGAACAACTAGGTTATCAGGTGAGTAGAATACGCAATACTAATTCTTTTTACCATCAGCATCAACACATGATTTTATGATTGAAATGTTACTCTACTAACAAATTTTAATTATATTTTATATCATCAGATTGTTAGTTCTTTTTCAAAATGTTAATGTACAGTTTTATGTACTATTAATTAAATATTACACTGTAGATGACATATTTTTTAATAAGAAACAAGGCAATTAAATTGATCACAGTAAGGGAGAGCCCAAGGACAGGAGTAGAGAAAACCCCCTCCCAAAGAGGACCTATTAAAAAAAGGCTTTTCAACTTCTAATAATCAATAGAAAGACTGTAATTACAAATGAAACTTTTTGAGTTGTGCTCCACCAAGAAGCCAGAAGCCATATGCTGGATACTATGAACAAAAGAATCCTCAATTATAATCGTCTCTAAAGAACTATTATACACAATTACATTATTGCTTTTTTGCTTCAGCCAACTTTTCTTTTCCAGTATGTAATCTCGTGAAAGACTTATAGGAGATTAAATGTACGGTGCCATAATATATTATCATATCATTGAATATCTTGTCCATTTTTCTTTAAGGTGTGTCCACGGATGAAGATAACTGGAGAGCCCAGTATGGCCAAGTCACTAATTATGGGGAAGCAATTCCCAAACTCTCTGTCATGGATATCTGGGACTGGTCGACAGTGATGGAGTCCAGGACAGGGGGAAAGGGCAAAGTTATGAGGTTGGTTGGAAGACTGGTGAGGAAGTCTGCAAAGCTTCATCCTTCGGTGTCTTCGAACGGTGCTCTTCTTAAAACAGCTCCAGTATGTGAAGTACACTTAGATTTGGTACGAGTTGCAACCGGTAAGATAAATGTCTCTTTAATATGCATATTTCTAAATCCTTGGTCTGCTTTACCAGTTTCTTTTTCTTCTTTCTTTCCATTCTATGGCAACCTGAAATTTACTTTCAGGGAAAATCTACAAGTTACATAATCCTAGTAAGAAGTATTTGACGTCCATGTCAACTTTTGATTCATCCAACCCTACAAAAGACTGGGGTTTCCCCGATTTATTAGATAGGCCAACCGATCTCACTAATAACGAGGCAAAAGTTGCAAGCACAGGCACTGTTAGCATGTCTGCATCTACGTTGGTAGACAATCTCTCTGTGACTGTAAAGGTAAACTTTATATTACAGAGCAAGTCAAATATCTCTACGACCCTGTTTGACATGTTTTGTTTCTAATCGGCAAAGCTTGACCTCAGATGCAGAACTGGTGTTAAGAATTTAAAGCAAATAAATTCTTTCTTATTAATAATGCTCGGTCATTCTGCTAGATCTTGGCTTACATCCAAATTACCTTTGTACAATCTTAGGGTTCAAGCCAAAATCAATATAGAGACAGAGCTGCTGAGAGAAGAGTCCTTCATGGTGGTTTTGGTGTTGGTCCTGGGCAGAAGAATTCAGCTACTGATCATGGTGATCTAACATCATCACCCCCTTATGGCTATTCCGAGAGCAGTCCAGCTGAAGCCTTGAATATCTCATTTGGAGAAGGTAGTTACGCACGAAAAATCTTAATAACCATGGGGTGGAAAGAGGTCTGTCATATCTATCCTTGGCACTTTTTTTGGAGTGGTTCAAATGATTCCCGTTTGATTTTTAGGCCTGTATCTAAATATCTCAAAACGACTTTAAAAATACCAAGACGCTCATTTTTAATGGCCGACAGGGAGAGGGTCTTGGCAACAGCATGAAGGGCATGGTGGAACCACTTCAAGCTGTTGGAAATATTGGAAATGCTGGATTGGGCTGGCCTCAGGGAACCAAAAAACTCGACATCTAGTAATAATTTCTCAATTTGACCTTTACACTGTCAAGAGAGGCTTCTCCAGAAGTGATTGTAAGTCTCACTGTGGCCTTATCTCTCAAATTATGACCATATCCTGAATAACAATGATAATAGGAAATATAAATGTTGTGCTTTTTTCACATTTTACCTAAGATGAAATATAAATAACCATAAGTAAAATTAATCCTGATTTTCACCCCTTTAGTAGAGCCGAGACACCTTCACTGTTCTCCCATAAAACATACTGTACTTAAAGTAGCTGATAAATAAAATGTCACGGTAAGGAAATTGAATGTCATATACAGGAGGAAAACTTAGATTAACTTAGATTTGATCTGTTACAAAATTTTGATATCATCTATTTGATCTCAGCTTTCAGCGTCGCCAGAAATCATAGCCTCGTCTTTGGGCAGATTCTCGGTAGGTGGTGAATCAGCCTTATCATCCTCGACTATTGGGCTCTTCGGCTGTTCTAAAGTTTCCTTCAAGATTTGAAGCTCGCGGTCCTTCTCGGCTAGTTTCTCTTGCAAAACGATAACCTGAATTTCCATGAAGGAAGAATAAACAAAAGAAACCGATAAAATAGAAATCACAATTGACAAAGAACTTAGCAACAGACGTATAATAGGGATGGTGACTACCAATTCGTTTGATCTCTCAACGTCATTTGTCAGCCCTTCCATATGTTTCTGCAAGGCTGCTCAGAGTTGAGGTATGGACATTAGTTAAGCAGGCAACAAGGCTATTTTAATTTACCATCAAAGTACAGACGGAATAATAATTGAATTTCATTTTGGTCCATTTGATAAGATAATATTATTTGGTGTTTCGAATTTTTTACTTCTAAAAATTATAAGCTTGTAAGTCCTATTTTCTTTCAATGCTTTCAATAACCCAACCTTAAATTTACATAATTCACTTTCTACCAATGTTTTTAAAAACCCAACCTAAATTTATATCATTCACTTTCTACCAATGTCTTTAAAAACCCGACCTAAATTTATATCATTCATTTTCAACCAATTTTTTTAGAAACCCAACCTAAATTAATATCATTCACTTTCTACCAATGTTTTTAAAAACCCGACCTAAATTTAAATCGTTCACTTTCTACCAATGTTTTTAAAAACCCATCCTAAATTTAAATCATTCACTTTCTTCCAATGTTTTTAAAAACTGGACCTAAATTTATATCATTCACTTTCTACCAATGTTTTTAAAAACTCAACCTAAATTTATATCATTCACTTTCTACCAATGTTTTTAAAATCCCAACCTAAATTTAAAAACGAAAAAATTAGTTTTTAAAAAGTACTTTTTGTTTTCAGATTTTGACTAAGAATCGAGGGAGGAAACCGGCAAAAAAAAAGTTAAAATATAAAAATTCAAAAACGAAAACCTGATAACTTGAAAATAGAAAAGCTGCAGAGGGAACCTCAAGCAACAGAAACGGGCATTTCCCGATAGTTACAGACCTTCGTATTGACTTCTAAGTTCTGTATTTTGGGATTTCTGCAAGGCAAGCTTCATTCCTAATTCATGCATCTGCAGTCAAAGGGGAGGCGTGATTGATCACAAACGCATAGACTACAAAAATTCATGAGACCAAATCTATATATATATTTTTCCAAATAGAGTAATAAGATGGTTAAAAAGTGAAAATAGGAATGTCAGGTGACATGGTCGAAATACAAATTCAGAATAGCCACGAAGTTAATTAGTGGTCATACCTTTCCTTCAGCAGCTTGATTTCCTATCTCCTCATTTTCTTCTTGCAGAGTCCTGCATTTAGCCATTAGCATTTTACCCATCTTGCTAGACGGAGTAAAACTGACTGCGGCAATGTTATCTTGCAACTCCTTCACCTTTTTGTCTTTTTCTTCCACCAAGTTCTGCATGTCATCAAGCTTGTAATTAATTGTATGTGATAACATATGATTAAAATATAATTGATGAGAGCTAATCTAGGGGGATGTAAATCATGTTATTGGCCTACATATCTCAGCCGTTCTGGGGAGACAATCCGACATTTCCTGTTTTAGGGAAGACAAATGGAGAAAATGACACTCAAATTCAAAGCAAATTGAGGAGATGGATCTTAAAAATCTGACTTTATCTAGGAATGGGTCCATAGAGGGTGGCGAACAATGGGTTAACTGGACATACGTAAAACTTGTTTCCAGTTAAATTAATAATAATACTAATAATAGGTAAGGTAAACTAGAACACACAATGCTTTCTCGAGACAAGATTTAGCCACTCGGGAACAAAATTCAGCAACCTTACTCTCTGTCTCTCTGAAGATTTTTCAACATGCTCGCTGTTTTTTAAGCACGAGGGAAGTGTGAATTTCCACAGGCCATTCCTCTAGTACGACCATAACAAGATGGCTCCTTTCAGCTTCTGGGTGTTTCTCAATTAACTCACTAAGACTCCCTCATCTAGGAGGAGACTACTCTTTCCACAATGACTATATTGCTATTCATTAGCCCACAATTTAATTCAACTGTCTCACCGTTTTTTTTCCTTTCCCTTTTTTTTGGGGGCAGGAGGGTCTAAAAAGGTAGAAAACTAGATTTCAAAACAGTTCTGACAAACCCCTCAAATCCCCTCATAACCCTATAATCTAAACAAGCTGTGGGCCTCTTAGGAGTTTTAGAGGGATTGAAAGATTTGATGATGCACTTTGCGAGTTGGTTAGATTTAGCTTTGCGTTATAGGTGTCCGTTAATTCGGCTTTTTATAATTACCAACTTGGTCTTATGCCTTTAGATTGGGGTCCTTTCTTGTAATAGGGTTGGAGCTCTTTTGGTGGGCTTGTTTATAGTATGTCCCAAGATAAAAGCTTGGTTTCTTATTACAAAAAATTAAATCTTGCCAAGAATGGAACATGGAACATGAAGAAAGGATAGATAAATGACAAATGCTAAGATCATTAACACAAAAATATGTGGTGGTCATACGATAATTATCCTGGTTAAGCTTTTAGACCATCTTGCTTGAATGAAAAATATAAGAGGAAAGTATCAACGAGATAAATTTTCATAGAGCATGTAAAACAGACCTTCAGACGAGTAAACTCTTCATGTATTGCAGGATCTAACAATAATCTCCTTGCCTGTTGAAGTTAGTGGTACGCAAGTTAGTAAAACTTGGAGAGTAGTGATTTTCCAACGTAAAGGCAAAAGGTCTATGTCTACAAACAAAATGAAGTAATAATTGAAGTTGAAGGTTTTTAAATCTGATATTACACATCACAGTAAGCATGTTTAAGCAAATTATTTAAATGTTACGAAAATAGATAAAAAGTTGTATTTGTTTAAATAGCTTTACTCATCCATCGAAAATTATTTTGTTAACTAAACAAAAGCATCCTGTAGCAGACGTGAATCAATAAACTTAAACAGTTATTTACAAATCTTAAAGAGGCAATTGATCTTTTGATCAAATTGGCTTTTCCTCCACCTCCACCTCCAATAATTTTCAAAGAGACCCAAGGTCAGCGAAAGACAATAAAGTTTTTTAACTGTAGGGTTTTGCGCCTAGAGGCTTGAATTTAGGATCTTGGAAAGAATTTTCGAACACTTGAGGCCCTTCTTATTAGGGCCACCTTGGTATATAGTCAAAATGGTTAGTCACCTCTACTCACATTCAAGACATTTACCATTGAGACAGAAACTAACGGTTCCATAGCTTAACAAAAGTATAAGAAGAAGAACAACCCTATGGAATATTCTCATCAATCAACTAAATCTAGCGAAGATAAACACATCAATATTTTGGTTCAAATATTACTTATAGAAGGAAAAGCTGAAAGGAAAAGGCATATTAGAAAAGGCTATGAAAGTACATGAAAAGACAACCAAATTGTGCCATATTGAATACTAATGCACTTCTACAGTAATAATAATAACATTTAAAGTTTTTTTTAGTACCTGCATTGATGGTGGCTTCAGCTGTGCTTTCAAGTCCCGGACTGCAGCCTGGATATTTTAACAAAATTAGAAAAGCATGATCTCAAAAGTACTCAAAGAAACCAAAGTTGTGAAGTGGTAAATGAAGACAGAAGGAAATTGTGAAACAAGATGCAAATGGAAGGGTAATAAAGATAATATGGTTTGGTTTGCATCTGTACCAAGCCATATTAGTAATTTAAGACTTAGCACGACAAACAAAATATATTACATTTTTATTATCTAAATACCTCACATATTCCATAGTAGAAGCAAATAAAAGATTATCTATCATTAAGTCTAAAAGGAAAGAAACGCAAAACTAGCCTTCAACTCTGCAATCTCCTGCTCTCGTTTTGCAAAAGTAACAATAAAAGCAGCTTCCTTCTTCTTTGCCTTTTCTAGCTGAAGGATGAAACACATGTTACATTTTTGCATGACAAGATATCACATTCCTGGCTGAAAAGCATTATTATGTTCCAAAAGAGAATCTACGCAACCAAACATGAAAAAATAATCAACAAACCTGGTCTCTTGCAGACTCCTCTGATGACTTCAGGGATTGAAGATAATTGACCACATATTTAGGTTCTACACAGAAACGTCAATTGTTTCACGATGAGCAGTTCAAATAGGATGACAAAACAAAAGTGCATATCTCAGAGTTCAACAGGCTAACCAGGGGAAGACCCAGCAGGAATGAAATTCTCGTTCTGAAATGAAGAAATCCACTTCTGAATCTCAGACTTAGCAGTTTCAAGCTCTGTCTGAAACCAAGGTCAATCCAGTAAGTAATTAAACTTTATATACGAACATCCTTGCATAATGCTTCTGTAAATAGTAAGTAGCTATCCAAACTCAATGTGAGAATGGTAGTAGGCTACAGATCATAGTGATTTCAACAATCGCATGAAATGTTCGAGGCCATTGTATGGCTACATGAGCATCAGCTTCGTTTCCAGAGCCCTTAGTGAGGATTACTAAATCTACTGAACAGGTTTGTTAAGCTTTGAATAAAAGTTTCATGGATTACAAGCATCCTACTTAACTTTCTTCGGAACTTGCATACTCTTTAGTTTCTTTTGGAGAATTACCAAGAGTAATAGCTAGTTTACAAGTTTTTATTGGATTATTTCATTAGATTCAAGAAGTATTTTGATTGTTATTCAATAGAATTTTACGTAGATTAGATCTCTCTAAGTAAGCATACACTACCATATGGTTTTAGGTTATGCGTTTCATTAAATTTTAAAACATGAAGAAGTTTGATATTAAAACGGCAAGATGCTGAATATCAGGTACTGAATGACAAGACAGTAGAATTTCTATTATTAGATTCATAGGCATCCATCAAATATAAAGATCCAAAGGATCGATGAGTCTGCAAGCAAGACTAAGACACATTCATGAGAAAACTGAACAAACGCAGCGAATGTCTGGCAGTGAAGAATGAAGACAAGGAGACATGCTAAGATAACCAAAAAACATACCCGGCATGTTGCAAGCGTATCCTCGCAGCTTTTCAGACTGCACGCGAAGTTTCAGAATAAATAAATTTACATGAGGAAATCGAAGGCTCGGTGCCTTTCAACAGTGCGCATTTAAGATATTTCGAAATATTTATCAATCACCGAAAATAATACAATACCTCTCTCGAAGAGACAGAATCATTCCTGTCGCTACACCTGGAGCAGTTTCTTCTACTTTAGAGTTAGCCTACATTGAAGCAATTAGCGTTAACCACAAATCAACATCACATCGAACATTAAATAAAGTGAAGATCGAGCAATAACGCAAGCTCAAGAGGAAAACTAGCGAATCAGGTAGATAAGGTAGAAATACCTTTTTGGAGCCAAAGAAGTCGTCCTCGTCATCTTCAAGATCTCCAAAACCTCTCTTATTTCCTACGTTTTCATAAACATAACATTAAATCAGTAAACACAGGCCAATCACACGCCAATGATTCGTTTCAAGGAACGCAAAGTGAACCTGAATGCCTATTGCTGTGCGTTCCAGTGAAGTCGCCTCCAAAATCATCATCCTGAACAAGTGAAGAAATCAAATAGAAACTCTGAGAAACAAACCTCTAGAACTCGCGTAAAAGAACACGGAGCAGTGAACATAAGTCGGAGAAACTAACATCATCGAGATGAGCGTGCGACGCCATGGAATGAAAACCCTAGGAAACTGAGCTTCTCACCAGCAAATGCAACAAAGAACCGCGAGCACTGCAAATGTTAGCGAGGGAAGCTAGCTGAGAGAATTAAATCCAAAAACGAACGGCGATGTCACATCCATAAAAACAGTATATGTATCATTCGGCTTCTCTCAAAGGCCGGGTATTGGCCTACTAAGGCCCAAAATCTTTTAACAAGCCCAGTTTGGGGACTAACGGCCCAACGAAATATTAAGGCCATAAGCCCATCCTACTTCTATCATATATTGAAGTACCTCTTTCCCAAGTACTTTTGGAAAAGCACCAGTTAATATTCTTCTTATTATTAATAGCATTTTAAATATTTATTTATTATTTTCAAAATTAATTTTATATTAATTATTACTAAATTAATTTTATTTAAAGAAAGCAAAGGAATACAAAGTGGAGGCTTAATGGTAATTTTAGAGTACTCTTAAAGTAACTTTTATCCCTTTTTTCTATTCGGTAATTCTTTTTCTTTCATGTTAACGAAAAGCAACTATAAAAGTTTTTTTTTTCTTTTTACCGTTCAAGGATAAAAAAAAAGAAATTAACCTCCGTAATTATCAGTATTTTAATTCTAAATTATTATTTTGATGAGAAAATAAAAAATAAAAAACACACTTAGACAGCGATTTTAATATGATCTCTCGCTCCCTTCAATGTCGGCAAGGAGGGAGTATGCTAAGTTTAAGAATAACAAAAATCATATGAATCATTCTCTATTTTATATTAATTAAAACCTTTTTCGTTTTTATAATTTTAAATTAAAACCACTTTTTGTTTAGATATGTTCATACGTAAAGACAAACAACCTTTAGCCTAAAATCTGACTGACGACACAGAGATCGGGCAAAGATTAAAATCGTTTAATTAAAAGCTTAATATATTGGTTAAGACGTGAATGGCTCAAATAAAATAATAATAATAATAGTAATTCATTATTATTACTAATAATTGATATCCGCATAGACTATCATATTACTAATAATAATCTACACGTTAGATGAGTCATCAAAGGCATACATGGACTTTTGCTCTGTCCCCATTCTGGCCCGTGATTGACTCATGCCTTGCGGGACCCACCTGTGGGCCTACGTGGTCTCCCACGATTGGCGAGTAGCACGTGCGGGCTAAGCGCCCAACCAATTTAATATCATTATCTCTTTGGGAAAATGAAGATAATAACTTTTCCAAAAATCTTATGGTTAACCAGAAAATGGGTTTACGGTCAGAATCCAACTAGAATGGGTTAGTGTACCACTTGACCATTAGCATTGTTTTTAAAGGGTTTTTTTTTTTTTTTTCATATTTAAAATTTTATAATGTCATTTTTAGCCTTTATCGATCTTTTTGGTCATTAAATTTATTTTTCGGGATATCGTTTAGAAAAGTCACTAGAAGACGTATTCACTACCGAAGGAGAGGAATCAAGGGTTTGGAAAATTCATCTCAATTTACGAGTTCATTTTTTATTCTCTCGACCAATTTTACGAGAAGCAAGTCCAGAGGGCTCTATCTCCGAACATTTTATCCTTGTGAGATCCCACCTCAGTTGGAAAAAGGAACAAAACATTCCTTATGAAGGGGTGGAAATCACTCCCTAGAAAACATATTTTAAAACTGTGAGACTGACGACAATACGTAACGAGCTAAAACGGACAATATCTGCTCATAATGGACTTGGAGTGTTGAAATCGATTGGTGTGTCAGCGAGAACGCTGGCCTCCATGGGGTAAATTATGAGATCTTAAATTTGTTGGAGAGGGGAACAAAATATTTCTGATAAGGATATAAAAACATCTCCCTAGTAAACACATCTTAAAATTGTGAGGCTGACGGTAATACGTAACGGGATAAGACGAACAATATTTCCTAACAGTGGACTTGGGTTGTTACAGTCCTCACCCGATCGATGTCATTGCTAAATTCTCCGGGACGCAAACCCAGTTGGTTGGTGTGTGTAAGAAGAAAGAAGTGAAGATGATTAAGTCTTAAAAGTGTTTAGAAATTTTGTCAAACGTCAAGAAAGGGAAGACAAGGCAGAGAGAATGGTGGGATTGGTTTTTGTCTACATGTTTCTCGTAGTTCACCCATTCCCCCTCCAATTACTCAAAAAAATTATAGATTAAATAAATAATACAAATATTGTTTATATTTTATTTTTATTTAAAATCATAACCATTTTCTTAAATTCAAACATTAATGCAATTTTAAAAAAATAAAAAATAAAACATAAAATTATGCTTATTTATTTTACAATCCATCGTTCATCGTTCATCTTTCTCTAAATAACATTTAAATTCATCACGATCAAAACTTGACATGATAAGTATAATTAAGTTTAATTTTTAAAAATTAAAAAAAAAATAATCACGATCAAAAGGGAACTTAAAAGGAATAATTAATTTAAATTATGTAAAAGATAATCGATAGAAAGAATATGAGATTTGGAGATTGATGAGCGTTTAAAAGAATTGTCCTTAGAAGCATGATTAGAGCAACCACATTAGTTTAACTTATAATTATCTCTAAGAAAGGAAGGTAAAAGGTAGAGGAAGAAGAAGGCTAAGTAGTGTTTAGGAAATGATGTTATGAACTATTTTCAACTTTAAAAAAAAAATAAAAATACTGTTTTCATTGACTAAGAAAAAAAGGATTATGTTTATGAAGACCAGAAATTATGTAGGTAATGAAGTAATAAAGTGATATTATGTTGCATAATTAAGTGAAAGTACTTGGATAATTATGCGAAACCTCTTTCTCTTGTGCACACCATTTGAAGCCATCATTCATTATGGATTGGATGCCATTAAAACTCCAAAAATAATTAATAAATCCAAAAATTAATTTTTTTTTGCATTATTTAAGGTAATTTTGGATAATTATAACTGTCATTGCCAACTGACACTCTTAAGATACAATGTCAAACAGACATTATTTCATTATTGTAGGTCCAAAATCCCATTTATTTCTAAGTTAGAATGATTATCACAGTTTAAAATTAAATAGGTTAATTAAACCCACATAATCTTTTATCAATTTTGTTTAGATTCCACTCTATATGGTTGTTAGTGTGGGGTTTTTGAGATTTGTGCTCGTTTTTTTCCCAATTTCTTTATAATGATCTTGAATTCAAGCTCTGTCCACCTTCTCTATTTTGAGGGATTCTTCATACTTAGGCTTTTTGATTTTCGGGACCGGTAACAGACGACTAGGAATAAGAAGAGGGGTATCAGTAGTCTCTACCGTGGCAGGTCCTTCATCTTCCTTTTGTTGAAATGGGTCTTTCGTTTTTTACTATGGCACGAAATCATGAAGAAGCTAAAATAACTTAGAAAGAGAGTAGCGCCTAGGCGTTGAGAGTGTCTGTTGTCTTTGTAGAGTAAGAATAGACCCCTTTAATACTCGAAAGATATCTATTTAAACGATGTTGGAACCCACGAGCGTCGGGTGGGAGGAACCAAAAGTTTGGAAGGAAATAATATAAGACAAACTTGAGGTACACACAAGATTTATTTAAAAAAATTTGAAAATGTGATGATGAGAAATGGTCAGCTTTTGTATCCAAGAAGCATATACATATGAATTAATGCATGTACATTCTTATGTCTACCAAACCCCAAAATATACAAAGTGGGTTTCCCCAAAATCAATTAAATCCATTTACTTTTTGCACATTTTTTTGTGCGCATGGCACCAAATTATGGGGAAAGAAAAGCACCAACTTAGTTTGGAGCCAAACAAAAAAATATTCCACATGCATCCAGATGATATTGCAACACCTCACTAGACAAACAGTCGTGGAAGAAGGTTCTTTCAACAATATATTTGTATTAAAAAAAAATAAAAATAAATTTGAACGAGTTGGAGTTTAAGCTTCAATCTACCCAAAGACAAATATAATATTACTGAATGTATACAAATGACTCGAAAATCTGACCACTTAAACTATAAAAGTTAGGTTGAGTTAGATTTTTTTGTTATTTGGGTTGAGTGAGTTGAATTTTTGAAAACTCAAATTTTCGAGCCCGACCAGTTTAAAAGTAAGGTTACAACCCAACCATAGTTTTAAGATTATTATGAAAATTAAGAATATTTCACCAGAGTGGAGGGTTGGATTGAGTTAAAAATTCTATTTGAGTTGCTCGAGTCACTAACTTAGATTGGCCCGAAAAATTTCACCAATCTAATTGAATCCACATGCCTTCCGAATTGGGTTGTTACCGAGTTAACTCAGGACATAAATATTTGGAATATTTTGGTAAGATAGAAAGAGATGAGGAAGGGAGAGAATAAATGTAAGCAAGTTGGGAAACAAAAATGGGGCCCAAATTCCATGGGCATATCATCTGAGTTTTGGCACCACCATGGTTAAGTAGTCAAGCTCAAGTGCTAGGGTTTGGTCTCTCAAAGTTGCAACATTTGCCATCATTTCTCAAAGCATATAAGGATGAGCAAATTGACCCTTTTTTTCTTTTTTATTTTTTTAATTTCCCCTTAAATTATTATTATTATTTTTTTAATTTTAAGGGAACAAAAGTCGCATGCAGCAAAAGCATTCTTGTCTCCAATGCCAATGTATTATAATGCCACCTTTTTACTCATGACCTGATCAAATCTCATGTCAATATTATATTTAATTTTTTTCCCATTTTCTTTCTTTATTTATTTTCTTCCAAGAATATTTAATAATTTGTAATAATATTTAGTCATTAGTAGGTTTCTAGATGCACTCGTGTGGGAAATCAGCTTGGTGTCACACCTTAAGCGCTCGCATGCATATGCAGAAGAAAAGAAAAATCGTAATATATTAGACTATGTCACAAAATTATCTTAATCAATAACATTAATTCATATAAAATATTAAAATCGAGAAATTTTAGTAGAAAATAATTTAGTTTTTCATTTAAGCTCGAATCTCGTATTTTTTTAAAGTTTAATTCGAATCGAACTTCTAACATAATCATATCGAGAATTTAAATTTTTCATTGAAAAATATAAAAGAATTATGAATAAAAAGTGGTTGGTTTAAAAGGGAATAAATTACTTGAAAAACAATCAAACTTTTTTATTTTTATTT